TAACGCGCTTATCTCGTGCATCTCTTGGAAGTCCTCCTGGGGAAGTCTTTAGGTCCGCCATGTTCGGAACGATGAGGAGTCCGTCTCTCCGTCTGGTTGACTCCGGGGTAACACCGTCAATGGCAGACAATGGTATTTCGTCATTGTTTGCCATGGAAAGCGATCCGATGAGCTTGGAGGACAAGGTTGTGTCTGCAAGTCCTTTCCACAGACGGCGCCAATTGTACGGGAAGGAGATATTCGTCGCTGTCCGTACTCCTTGCGTCCAAGCTCCGTGTCTATCCGATCAACCTGAAAACACAACGGCGGTGAGCTACCCGGCAGTGTGTTGTCAGAAAATCCCTTCGACGGTCAAGTTAGCACACACTCTGAGAGAGGGAGAGAGAGGAGCTCAATCAATGTTAAAGTTTCTCTCACCAATTAATGTTCCATCCTTAGCATGGGGGGCGCAGTCAAGTTTATATACTTTCTGCGCTCACCTCTGCATCCATTCACATATTGACGCGTGGAGCTGCTCTCCAATCACACTTTCCCGCGTGTCAGCGCAAATTCAGCTAAACACCACCTAATCAAACCGCCAAACGACATTGGCGCGAACATGTAGCCCAGTGGCACTACCCCGGCCTTCTACGACCGTGCCGCCTAACGAAACAAACAGTGCTCCCTGCCGACCTCTATTACGACCGAGCTCGGTAACACTCTGTTATGACCGAGCTCCTGCTAAGCTAGGCCGGCATATGAAGGACCTTGCGCGCCGAGCTAATTGTGCGATGAATAAAGCCTGGGCTAACAGAGAAGCATCTTGACCAAACGGGCCCTAGACTTCAACCGAGCAAACTTCCCCCCCGACACGGCCTGGCCCAGCTCGGCCCAAACACGCTCGGACCACTCTTAGCTCGGCCAAATCAGCGGCCCAAGATGTGATTATGAAATCTCCCTCTCACAATCTTTGAAATTTCTAATCTCATAATAAATAACTCATTTTGTTAATAAATTATCAAGTCAATCAATAAATTTTAGTGATGTCAGAAATACATTTTAATTAATAATTCGGATAATTTTATACAAGAGAACAATTAGGAATTTTATTTTTTTCAGTTAATTCTGTTAAATAAAAAATTTAGACAATTTTATAATTTTTTAAATTATAAAAAATAATACATATTTTAAACAAATTTTAGAAGATACATTTCTAAATTACCCAACAAATAAAGTTGGCTTTCATATGCTCTGTTTGTTTTTCATTTAAAAAAAATATGTTTTATATTTTTTAAAAATTAGTATAATGAAAAATAAAAATAACATATAAAATACATGACAGCCCTCACCACCGTCACTTCCATCCCACAATCACTGCTTCATATTCAATTTGGAAAATGTCTCGTAACTCAAATTTTGTGGCTCAAAAGTGGCTCAAATGGCCAAAACGACGTCGTTTTGGCCATTTTTATATTGTTCTGTACTCAAAACGACATCGTTTTGGTCATTTGAGCCACTTTTGAGCCACAAAATTTGAGCTACGTAGCATTATCGATTCAATTTATACATAGCCATACAAATACGTAACACCAATTCAATCACCTCTAAACACATTTGATTAAAACTTTAGGACACTTTTCTAAATTTATAAAATTTTAGAAAATTTATATGTTGGCCTTTTGATAGTTAACATATGCCACATGTCACCTTCCACCTCCTCCTCTCTCTCTCTTCGAAATGTGATCCAATCAGTCTCCACCTCACATCCCCATTATATTATTGATAAAAAAAAATTAAATTAATTTAATAATCATAATTTTTTTAAAAAATTATTACATTTATTTTAAAAACTAGATAAGAAATGTGATTTTAAAAATATACCATTCAATTTTCTTTTTAAAATATAATAAAAAAAATTTCAATTATTGAATATAATTTATTTATAAATCTCATCTTGAGAAATTATAATCTGTTTAGCCTAATTTTTTTTTCTTATAGACCAATTAGTTCTATTGCTTTTGAAAAAATATATTTAATATATTATTTAAAAATTAGATTTACGGTTATACCTTTTTTTTTTTTTCTTTTTCTTTTTTGTTAGTAAAGTAAAATATACAACCTCTAAGGAAATCAAATTAAGGATGAAATTTTATATGGAAATCATTTTTGATGTTACTATTGGTCCCTGATGGATTGGTTGGGTTGATCCATGCCTTCCACACCGTTGTTCGGTTGCTGGGCTCACTAAGATACCTACACAAAAGTCTAACGGGGAACATGAGTCTTCCAGCGAACGCTCCGACAAGCAAGCTAGAAGAGAGATTAGTGGAATGTAGAGATAAGGTGATGGTAAGGAACTTAACCTTCTTTTTGTCTTAGAAATCTACTTATATCCGTTGTTTATCATTTCCTTGTCCACTCCGACCTGTCATGTTGGTCAAAAGTCTATGTTCTAGCTTGCCTTGTTCATGGTGAGGCTGTCCTACTCCGACGTGAAGGGGTTATCGCATTAAATGCTGCAGAGAACCTCATTAATGGCTGATGTGTGGTGTAATATCTCTGTAGAATTTTTGTCTGCTTACATGGCTGGTTCTTCTCTTAACAAGTGTTCAGATGTCGTTGGTTCTTAGTGCAACGTTGGGTTCCAATAATGTTGGGCTTTAGTGTTTGAATTATGCATTGGGCTCTAAGTGGTGGGCCAAAAGCCCCTATGGGCCCACCTTATTTGAAATGACTTGAAATGTGAGATTTTCAAATATTTCAAAATGAGTACAAAAATAACTTGAAATATGGGTGTAATATCTCTGTAGGATCTTTGTCTGCTTACATGGCTAGTTCTTCTCTTAACAAGTGTTTAGATGTCGTTGGTTCTTAGTGCAACGTTGGGTTCCAATAATATTGGGCTTTAGTGTTTGAATTATGCATTGGGCTCTAAGTGGTGGGCCAAAAGCCCCTATGGGCCCACCTTATTTGAAATGACTTGAAATGTGAGATTTTCAAATATTTCAAAATGAGTACAAAAATAACTTGAAATATGAGATTTTTCAAATATTTTAAAAGGATATGAGATTTTTTAAACATTTTAAATGGAGTACAAAAACTCCTTAGTAAATTTTCACAAATATATAATTTCAAACTGTAAGACTTCAATATAATACTCAAACATAAATCCAAATTTTTTTTTCAGTGTAACACTTTAATATAACACACAAAAAAATTTCTTAACGTACTTTTTCCAAACGTCACACTCTAATATAACACTCAAAAAAATGATGTGCGATTCTTCAAGCCATTTCAAAAAGATATAGGATTCTTCAAGCCATTCTAAAAGAAATACAAAAATTCCTTAGTGTAAGTTTTGAACAAATATATAATTTCAAACTATAAGTGTTACATTGAGAAAAATATACTAAGGAGTTTTTAGCGTTTTTGTATGTGTTAGATTGGAGTGTTAAGTTTGAGATTACATTAATTAGAGTGTTACATTTAGAAAAAAATATACTAAATTTTTTTATGTGTTACATTAGAGTGTTATATTTGAAAAAAATACACTAAATAATTTTTTTGGAGTGTTACATTATTACGTTTGAAAAAGTATACTAACGAGTTTTTTAGTGTGTTACGTTTTTTAAGTGTTATATTAGAGTATTACTTTCTCATTCGTAATGTGATATTTGATCCAGAAGGAAGGAAATCTAAAACATTTATGATACGGATTGTCTAAATGTATAATTTTAGATTTAGAGAAATCCATTTTTATTCTTAAAAAATTAAACTCAAACGTGTAAATGATTACTTTTTTATGTAATTTCTACATCAATGAGAGTTTTGGTTAAGGAAAAAAAAAAGAAAAAAAAGAAAAAAGAACTAAACAGCTCATAAGATCATATTTTGAAATTTATTAATACTTCATATTTTTTTAATTTACAAATAATATCCAAAAAAAAAAACTTGGAACAATTGCAATGAAATGATATAAATTTAAAATAATTATAAAGATGTAAAAATACAAGGTTTAATTACATAACCTAATATATGAATTATTTGTACTTTCATAATGTTATAATTATTTTGAGTTGATATATATATATATATATATTTTACAATTCAAAAAAAAAATAATAATAATAATAATAATAATCGACCCGACCTAACCCTTTTTTGAAACAAAAAAAAAAAGAAAATGGCATTTTTCGTAATTTAGGTAAAGCTCCGAACCCGTTTCCGACAACCACAATTACTATCTTCGGACGGGCCGCCGGTTACAAAATTTTGCTTAAATCTTTACCTTTTCTCCTCATATCACGCGCCTCTTTTCCCAATCTCTCTCTCAATTTTCAATCGTTTCGATCTCAATTTCTTCTACCAATCCTCAAATCGGCCTCAGATTCTTTCGATTCCCTCTCTTCTCTCTCGATCGATCCCTCTTTCGTCCCTATCCGTTACGTTTATCGAATTCTAGGGTTAGGGTTTTCTGATTCTTTTAATCTTCTTCAGATCTCTTCGATCTATTACCGTCTTGTGTAAATCAATCCATTTTTTTATCCGGATTTCGATTTTTCGATCTATCCGTTCCGATTTCGTAAAAAAAAAATTGATCGTTTTTTAGGGTCTTGTCTTTTTTGGTTTTTTTAATCTTCAGGGTTTGCTTGATCTATAGATTTGATAGATTATTTATTGTTCCGTTCTGGGAAATTGTTTTATTGGTGGGTTGTGTTTAATTTTGGGTATTTTGTTGAAAAAAATTAGGGATCTAGGGCTAGGGTTTCGATTAGATTGGGGGTTTTATTTGTTTTTTCAATTGGGTTGGAGAAACGTCAATTCTTGCTGGGAAATTACGTTTTTGTCCATTGATTGGTTTGACAAATCCATTTACGGTTTAGGGATCTTCTATTTCATTGGCCGGGGGACTATTTTTTTGAGGTATAAAATTTTCCTTTTTCTTTCGGAAATTATAACCCATTTTTTTAAATTTATTGAAAGCCAATTTGTTATCAATTATTCAGCTAATTTTTAGGGGCATTAATATGGGCACTCACTTTTTCTTTTTAATGGAGGTATTGTATTAAATTATAAAATAAATAAAAAATAAAATAAAGTAAAAAAAGAAAAAAAAGAAATCAGAAGATAACATTGTGTTGTGCAGACTTATTTTTTTAATGCAAATGTGTAACAGAAGTTGTACCCCATCCATAAGAAGCAGAATTGCTCAAATCATTGGACCCCATGGCTAGTTGACCATTTGCTTGGATATCTCATTAATGATATGTACAAGAATATCTTTTCTGAATTTGGTTGTTGAAGTATTGTGAACACATTTACTTTTTGGAGTAATGTTAATTACAAATCTCACAAACTTCATTACTCACAAATATTATTATTGTTATTGTTATTGTTATTGTTATTATTATTATTATTATTATTATTATTATTTGGTTTTTGAACCCTAAGGACAACTCAACTGGAGCTTGTGAGTGAAAGTAGTTACAGATTTGTTAGTTTGTATTTTCATTTATTTTACTATGTGTGTGACTTACATGGGGTCTCGTGAAGTAGTTCAGCAGCTTTATCTTTGTCTTTATAGTCAACATTCACTAGATTTTTCTTATGGGCTGTCAAGTAGCTTTGTATAGTCATTTGAATGCATGGTAATTTAAAGATGGCTGTTCTGCATTATATGTGATGTATTTTTGAATTTGGACCTGACTTTGATTCACTTTTCTATTTATGCTCATTTGAAATATGTGTTTGCTTTTTACTTCAACCCAAGCCGGTGGTGTTTTACAACACAGTTAGTCAAGATAAGCATAAATAGTTTGAGTTTAATCTCTTGTTGGTAAATATTTATTCAGACGAAGCCATCTTTGTTGTTGATTGTTAACAATCTCTTAGGATGTGGGGAAATAGTACATGTTGTATGTTTAGGAAATGGGTATTTTATTATCAATAAGTCAATAATATGCTCTATCTATTCAAAGCTTGCACTGCCTAATAAACTTAGTCAGAATTTTAAATCCAGGTCTATGAAGTTCATTTCTCATTCAGTTCTGATGTTGCATTTATCATATGCCTCTCTATATGTGGGAAGATGTGCCAAGCATCTGAACTTTTTTGTGATTATATGATTCTATCAATTACTTCTCAGATCTTGGGTTCTAATTGAGTTGATATTTGTATATATATAAATTCTGAAATAATTTTCTGAGTGCATCGTGATGTCACATAATTTGTGCTCTAGTTGAGTTTACGTATGTATGTATATGCGTTCTGAAATAATTTTCTGAGTGTAGTGTGATGGTACTGTTGATCACAATGTTTTATCTTTTGTTTTAGCGCTTAGAGTATGGAATGGTATCAGAAATAGCAACTGTCCTTGTCCAATATATATGTATGAGTTTCATGCTTAGCTTAACAAAGAATGCATTCATTGCTTGTGCACGCCATTTTCAAACTGAGGAATTTTTCATTCATTGAAATAGATAAAAGCAGTCTGGGTTGCTGAATCCAACTCTCTCTCTCTCTCTCTGAGGGAATTATGTGCATTTTGGTGGTCCTGTTTTCATCTACATATTTGTACATCAAAATTTGGTTTGCTGATTTCTTCATTATACATGTTACTGTAACTTATCGTTTATCAACTATATACTTTAGCCAGAAAGTCACTATAAATTGTCACACCACTCTCTCTACTTTTCTGCACATCTTTTCGTAAAAAGTCAAAAAGTTATTAAAATAGCTTGTTCCCAAACAAGGAAATCTGTTGTAGCCTTGAGTTTTTCTCAGAATTGCTTTCAAACTTTTTCTTGCAGTGAAACATGGTGCAAAAACGGCCCTTTGGTGATGAGACATATGGGGTTTCTTCTAAGCACCCTAGACAACTGGAGTACATTTGCCAACTTTCTGCGCTGGAATTTGTTTGTGCTAAAGATACAGCATGGAAACCTAAAATTTCAGGTTGTTAAGAGTTTATATGTAATCACTTGATTAGTCTTTGGCTATATCTTGTCCAAATTTTTACTTGATCGAATGATGTTTAACGTATGACTGTGGGACACTTGTAGACTCATTTGTTCCAACCATGTAAGTTACCGTGATTGATATAAAGTTTTAGGTGATCTGTCAAGTTGACAGGTTGTCTGTCAAGGCTTGCATGCACCTAAATGGAAATGCAGGATGCTTAATTTATCATATTCTTTTGAATTATTCTCCATGTCTCTGGACTTTCAACATCAAAAATATTTCATGATTTGAACTGTTGGAGAGATGGCGATTTGTTAATTGCTTGAGTGAATGTAGTAGTGTCGAATGAGATCTTTACTTGTTTCCATGATTTTGGTTCACCACAAATTGATTGGACACAAATGCATTCTTAGCAAAAGGTCTTCTTATTTTTTATTTTGTTTTGAAGTTATTAACTAAGCTGACTGGCCAATGTGTGATAGGTGAAGGTGAGGGTGGTTTCTCAAACAGGGATGAGAAGCATGTGGATGGAAACATTACTGAACTCCCAATATGCACTGAAAAGGATAGTGAAACCAGTTTTCCTGGTTGCATTTCCAACACGTCCTGGGCCAGCAGCAGTACAAGTGAGGAAGATGATGAGTCACAGGCACAGTTTCATTTATCATTCTCTCCAGAGTGTTATAATTCTTACCAGCCAAGAAGAACATTAGGTCACCCTGAAAAGAAATGTTCCTCTCTTTTGGAGTGTCCTCCTCGAAAACTGGTATCAATTGGACCAGATTTTCAAGCCAATCTACCAGAATGGGGTGCTAAGAATGCTCGTCAAGCTTTAGAATTGGATCTTAGTGATCATAATGATGTTGAGAACAAGCTGGCTGGGATTTGTGTCATTCCAATGCCTGAATTTGGACAATCTGCAAACGACAGTGACAAGGTTGGAGGTGGTAGAACTGATTGCTGCTGTGAGGATTCTGGGTCTGTCAGATGTGTTAGACAGCACATCAAAGAAGCAAGAGAAAGACTTTGTAAAACCATTGGACATGAGAGATTTTCAGAGCTGGGGTTCTCTGACATGGGAGAGGTAGTGGCTTGTAAATGGAGTCCAGAGGAACAACAGCTGTTTCATGATGTGGTATATTCAAATCCTGCATCATGGGGTAAGAACTTTTGGGACCATCTATCAATGGTTTTCCCAACTCGAGCCAAAAAGGACATTGCCAGCTATTACTTTAATGTCTTCATGCTGCATAGGCGGGCGGTGCAGAATAGATGCGACCCAATGAATATTGACAGTGATGATGATGAATGGCATGGGAGTGATGATTCTGGAGATGATGATGAAGTTGGGACAGCAGAGGAAGATGATGATTCTGTTGAATCCCTGGCATTTCAAGATGCCCATGGACATAATGAGATTTTGGAAAATGATTCATATAGATATGATGATTCATATAATCACGGAAGTGTTGGTTGTGATGAGGGTGTCATCGATGATCCTGAAACATACTCGAGAATGTTTTTTGATAATGGTGGTCCTGAACCTACACTTCAGCTCTGGGATGAAGAAGGAGATCATGATGTGCAAGATGACTCATGCACGTCTGATGATGCTGGGACTGAACAAGTGACTCAAGTGAATCCTAAGAATAGTAAGTGCCATTTGGGTAGCGTTAGTAGTATAAGTGGTGGTGACGGTGATGATTTTGTTTTGGAGCATTATGATACTGAAGTATGGGATGTTGGGTACTTGACATGCCCAAAAAATGAAGTTGAATTTTTACCTACATGCAGTGTGATTGAAGAGGTGTTTGGGGCTGGTGCTTGGAATTACACGGCAAGAGATGGTAAGGATTTGAGTTAGTACTACTTTTGTCATTTTTAGCTTGCAAGCAAGTGTATGGAAGTTCAAAGTGTAAGCATACAAGGGTTTTGCCGCAAAACCCTCTTAGGTTAATTTTGTTTGGAACTTCTTATGTTAAAATGAGTAAGAAACTCCAATTTTCCTTTGTACATCCGCAAATGGTGGAAGATGGAGGGTCTTCCTTCTGTTCTGTAAGGATATGGTTTTTGAAGGTTGTCGGTTTAAAATCATTGAATTGATCACGTGGATTAACTATCCCCTGATTATGCGACTGTTACCATCTTTCTTATGGTAAATGCAACAATAATTTTCAGCGGGGATAAACTTGCCTTTTTATTTTATTTTATTTTATTCTTAGAGAGAGATTGGTAGCGACTCCAAGTGCAAAGACAATGTATTATGTAGTTTTGTATTGTTGTTTTTATTGTATGCAATAATGTATTATAGAAATCATTCAATTTTTTGGTCGAATCACAAAAACTTACCTGTATATTTGATGTGATATGAGTAAAAAAACAAGAAGATGAGTTCCAGGAACAGATGGTTGTTGAGATATGTTTATCTCACAAAGGAGACGGAGTTGAAGCCATTGTTTGTTGAGATTGTGTTGTCAATGCCAAAAGATTGTGTAGGTCATGTTGTCCAGATGCTCAGATTCCCTTCACCTTCTTCCATAGTAACATATTTTTATTTATTTCTTTATTTTTTTGGGGTCAAATGGAAAGCTAGCAACTAACTGAATAGCAAGGATAAAGCTAAAAGGAGACCAATGTTGTGATTGGATCATGGATTTGGAAAGGGATAGAGAAAAAGATGAGTGAAGTGTAAATGAAGTATAGTTATATTTTATATACATTGTATTGATCTTTTTTTTTTTCTCTTTCTAAATTTTTATTTAAATTCATGATTTAAACATAGTCTAAGAGCACTTCGTATATGGGGTGTTGTGATCTTTGGATTCAAGTCTTATTTTCCCTTAACATTATACAATTCTAATTTCCTATTGCGATATCTAAATTCGAGTTTCACAGTTTTATTATGCAGTTATTTGCCTAACGATGATGGTGGTAGTGGTGGTACGATAAAGACAGTAAGAGTAATGGTGGTTATGATTGTGTTATGGCGCGTTAGTAAGACTTTTTATTTTTAAAAAATAAAAAATGTTTTGCATCCAAATTAATTTACTTTTCATTGATTATGAAAATTATACATATATTTTTTATTTTCATATTTTATCATATCAAACTAAACAACAAAAAATATGATTTTTTTTTTTTATTTGAAAAAGATTTTTAATCGAAACAAACAGGAGTGTAGAAATAGTCTTCTTTCCCTTGGGCTTTCTTCACTCTACTCCAAGTAGCCTTTTTAGCTTAGCTCTCTTCATATCTCAAATCTCAAGCACAAAAAAACAACCAAAATTTTTCAAACTTGATCACAATCTCTAACAGGAATAGAAGCATAGTCATAAATCACAACATAGTGATGGCTTTTATTTATCTACTTTACAAAGTATATAGCTCCAAATTTGGGCAGTCAAAAAGTTTAATGGCCTCTTGAAGTGGGATTACAACTTTTAATATTCAAAAACAGTGATGCACTATGACTCTATGAGAGAGAGAGAGAGAGAGAGTATGGCATATGTTCTTCTGATGATCATCAATACATGAATTCTATGCTTTCTATCATTTTCATTCGGAAGTTGGAATGCAACATAGCCCATTGAAGGCTACCACTCACATCTTCATGCTCACCATTAAAGATTTGGTACCAAACAAATAAATATGTATGCACACCTCTCTACAAGTTGTTTACTAGAAAAAAAATTAAAGAATTTTGCAATCCTTATGACCTTGAGTTATAGCCTCTATTTCAAAAAAAAAAAAAAAACTCACTTAAGGAAAAGATTTTAAGCACTGAGAGGGTTTACATGACGAAATTGTTTAAGACCTCTAAAACAATAAGTTCTAATAGCTCTAAATATACTGTAACTCCAATTGATTTGATGTTTTGCTCTTTGTTTTGTTTTGTTTTTGTTTTTTATTTTTTTTATTTCCTACACTTCCAGTTCATTAGAGCTGGCTTAGTGCTCTCTTTTTAGTGGTATGTATCACTACTGATTACATGACACTTGTCATGTGATATGTTCAATCAATCATAAATTTTTAATTTCTTATGTTATTTTTTAGACATTCAGTACAAATGTCATGCACCAATCAATAAAAAAAAAAGTATCACATGGTACTTATCCTCCCATCACACGAAAATTGCTTCCAATTAAGGATTTAAAAAAAAAATAATGCTATGCTGAGCTTGATTGTATGAGCTTGAAACCAAACAGGACATTAAAGTGATCCTAGTACTATAGTAGGAGGGTTCCTATTCTCTCCAATTCTGTACTTTGAAAAGAAAACTCAATGCCAAACTCGTAAAGAGCTTTAGTATAATATTGAAACTTTAGCTATTGGAAGGAACACTTGCGCTTAGTGGTTAATTAGAAAATGTTGTTTCTTTTACATGTGTAACTTTTTCTTCGCTTATTACCCTTTACAGATTGTGAATAATAATAATAATAATCCTCAAATTTTGCATTGGAAGGATTTAATAACATACTAAAATTTGAGCATATTTTTTAGGGTAAATTACATCATTATTCTCTATATTTAAGCGAAATGTCACTTTAGTTCTCATAATTTTAATTTGAACAATTTAATAAAGTCTATACTTTTAATTTTGTTACAATGTTATTCTTCCGTTATGCGCTGTTAATATTTTGAACCAAAATATGACACTTTAGTCTCTCTAATTTTGTATGTAGTATTTTTTCGTTAAAAATTCTAATGACAAGTGACAAAACGATCACATTGTAATAAAATTAAAAGTATAGAATTTAAATTATTCAAATTAAAATTATGAGAATTACAAAAAAATTTTGCTTAGACGGTGAAGACTAACGATGTAATTTATTCAATTATTTAATATGTGACTACTATGGTCCATGGTTAATCTAATGGCATTGGAATTTGTGAGGATACTAGACCCCCCTACACTACATGTGAGTATTAAAAGGTTTGGTACATTGTATCATTAAAAGACTACTTGTGTTGGCTGCAAAACCTTATATTCCATTAAATTTTCAACCAGGAAACATACCAATCAATATTTTGCTAGTTAGAAATACCATGTAGCTTATGGCAAATCAAGTCAAAATGAATTTAAAGTACGTAGTTAAAGCAATCACTTTTTTAAAATTTCAAAACTCTCTTCATTATAGTTGTGGAGATAAAAATGAAATAACTCATATGAAGTGGATCTACTTAATGTCTACACAACGTAGCCACTTAGGGTGATCGAGAACAATATTGAATCTGCTAAGGTAAACTTAACCACTAAGTATATGTCAACTATGATCAATGAATAACCCAACTATGGTTTGGATAAACTTAGGGGAGAAAGAACATCCTAATATAAATAGAGATAAATATGCCTAAACCAATACATTTTATAAAATATCATTTAACGTAAGTATTAAAGTTCCATCCAACTATAACCATGGATAAGGTAATACTAACGATTTGTTGTTTTGAGTTTTTATCCCAAGCATTGCTTTGCTGGTGAGAACTTGATTGGACACATGCAACATTATTACCCCCATAAAGGAAACACATGCATCTTTATGATTAAAAAGCCATATTATTATTTAAAAAAAAAAAAGTGGTGGATTTGTAGTTCCTTCATATATATTGGCAAACTCTTATCTATAAGCACATTTGGCTCTATTTGCCCATTTTCTTTTTAATTTTTAAAATTTATTTAAATTATTTTTATCTCATAAACTGTAAATAAAAAATTATACTAAACACTCTTGTACAAATTCTTAAAACAGAACCTATAACTATGAATCAATTAAATTTGGAGTAAAACTGATCAAATTTCATACGAATTGTCTAAATAATTAATGGAATAGTGTTTAAAGTAAAAAAACAAAAACAACATTTCGTTGATAATTTAGATTGTTCATTTGAAATAGGATTTATTGAAAATTTAAATATTAAATTCAGAAAATTAAAACTTTTTTGGATCAAATGACATTGAAAATATATATGTTTTAGAGATCATGAATATACTTATATTAAAGTCTCACTCACGCACACATGGACACTAAAATAATTTGAAAAATCTGCATAGGGATCACAGTAGAGGTATTATTTGAAAAACAGTGCCCAACACAATAGCTTAATTAGAAAGGCACTTTTGAGAGGTAGAAAAAAGTTTTAATTAATACCAATGGAATTTATAGTCATCAGTTTATTGTAGCCTCCACTTTCAAGTTTTGATTGTACTTATTTTGGTTTGTATAAGATGATCTGAATGATTCAGATTTATTTTATTTTATTTATTTTATTTTATTTTTGTGGGGGTTCTAAGTCCAAGAGATTAAGTATAAATATGAGAAAAGTTATATTAAATTGAACAATTATGAAGTTCGATTTTGCTTACTCAACTGATTCATAGATAAATAAAAGAGTTCATTCTTACTGATTAAAATAATGAGATTTATTGGAACCTACCTTACTAAAAGAAAAGAAGAAGTTTTTAGTTTTCAAAATCTATTTTATGAATTTTTTTTGAAGAAAACTAAGACATAATTTAGTAAAAAAATTAATAAATAAAAATCACTTATTTCCATATGGTTTTATATCCTTTTAGGGGGAAAATTAAATTGTCAGAATTTTAAAATGTCTTTTTTTTTGTTTATTTGTGTCAAACTAATTTTTATTTTTTCATAAAAAATTTCAAAAAATTGATTCTAAATTGAAACCAAATAGAGCCAAAAATTGAGGATTGCACGAGTGCATAAAATAAAGGTAAATTACACCTTTTATCTTTGAACTTTTTTTTCCAGAATTTCACTTTGATTTCTTATCTTATCATTATAACAATTAAGCCCTCGGATTTCAATTCATGTTTCAATGTGATCCTCTCACTACTTATGTTAAAATTTTGGACATAAAGTGTTCACTTAATGGTCACGTTAGCACATTTTAGGGGCATAAAAAATTTGTATAACAAATTATACTTTTTACTTTTTAACTTTCACTCAAATTTCATTTTGGTCTTTTATATTTCAACTTTTATTTAAATTTCAAAAAGCTGGTCGACAGAAAGATTGTATTTAAACACAGGTTAAAGTCTAAAAATTTAATTGTTACAATTAATAGACAAAAGACCAAACTAAAATTTAAACAAAACTTTGAGGGTGAAAAATATAAATTACCCATAACATTATTTTGCAGATTATGAGGTTGGAAGATTTTGCAAAATCCAACTAGAAGTTGCCAAAGACAGCCCCAAATCTCATTACTAGCATATATGGAGATATTCTAATACATTTTCATTTGAAGTCTTTAAGGGTTGTTATTTTTGGATTTATAGCTTGGGACCAAAAGAGGAACTT